TCCGTCAAGGCAAGCGTGTAGCTGCACAAGATGGCAAGCAAAAAAAGAAAAGTGCATCGAGTAAAGGAAGTCATTTTTACTGTCAAGTAATATAAGTTGTCAAAGTTCTCTTTGCTCGAGTAGGGTGTTATAGGCACAGGTACATGCAGCAATCGTTAATTTATAACAGTTTTTCCTATAAAGATCGTAGAAGTTGTAACGATCACAAATTTGGGAATTATTCTTTGCATAGTTTGAACAACAAATATAGTAAAATTGTTTCTTGGGGGGGGCGTTTTCTCATTGCCATTACTGTATTGTCGTTCAAAAAATTATTAATGGGAATGTTTGAATTAGTTGGACTCCTGATATTTCGGAAATAAGATGCATCGGAAGCGTTATGTCCAATCCCAAAAGAACAATGAAAATCAACAAACAAATAATTATTCAGATAAATTTAGAATGAACAAGAGAGATCCATATTAATAATTTACTATTATTTTTCGTCAATGCAGAAAATGATGAAAGGTTCCTTGTAAGCCTCAATGGCTCGAACCACGAATCAAATTTTCCAACCGATTACGTAACAAACTGGTCGTCACTTGATCCAAATGTCGAAACGCCCACAGCGAACAATATCCTACAGCCTAATCCAGAAAGTTTATAGTTTATGCATGGTGTAAATATAACTGCAAATGTCTAAAAGTGTTTTTGATTTTAAACAACGCATAGATGCTGTATGAAAACGGTAAAGTATACAATACTAATTTATTAAAAAAGAAACTAATTATATAACAAGTAGTACAAAAAAAAAGGGAATGAACATTCTATTCAATATTCATATGATGATTTCATTTTTCATTTATACTTAAATAATTATTTTACAAATAAGTTCCGCATACGTATGCTGTATGCCGAAACGGTGCACCACGAGCTAAGAAAAGTTTCGCGTGCGTCAAGAAAAGCGGATGGCGCGGATAAAATATAATCCATTCATGGGTGATTAAAATTAAAGAATTCTATTTTTAGTTTATGGAACGAGTCACTCGAGGTATTACCCGGGTGCGCATAATATATCTTTCATCTCACTAAATTCTAACTTATAACACGAAAGCTCTGGCAATGAAATTTGCACCCAAAATCCAAATATATTTTATGATCGGGGTAATAAAAAAATAATGGTAATAAATCTAACCACCACTGATTGAACCCGTATTTACTCCTAAAATTATACAGTATCCTTTTTTAACGCTGAGATTAGAATCCATTTATTTTTTTTCCAAAATTTCTCTTACTTATTCCATTATTTTACCACAACGCCCCTCTTACAATCATGGAAAACACAAACATCGGTACCACTCGTGGTATTGCAGAAATTATACATAACTTGCATCGCGTAATATCCTGGAGGTACCTTGGGACAGGCTGATATTGTGTATTGCAATGACTTGTTGCAGACTCGTGTGGGCGTAGTATCAGCGTCTTTAGCGATGGTCTGATTTACACAATGTAAATCGCTGCTAACCAGGTAGAATTGGAGATCTTTCAAGAAACCACTTTGTTCACCAGGAAGCTAATTGATAGGAAATGAAAAAGTAAATTTTAGGATTTGAGAGACACAAATCAATAAATACCATCATGACAATATTCATAGGATTTACCTTGGTGATGTTATATTTGACCTCAAAATTTTCGTTTCTTTTGAGAACACTTCCCGATGCCGGGGAAACAAATGCAAACATTGCCGAATCACATTGAGTATCCTTGACGGGTTTATTACAAGGAAGAACGGTGGTAGTGGCCGTTACGGTCTTTGACACGGTCTTTGTGTCTGTTAAGGTTTCCTTGTCTGTTACGGTTTTTGTGACTGTATCCAACACGGTTTTTGTGTCTGTTAAGGTTTTCAAGTCTGTTACGGTTTTCAAGTCTGTTACGGTTTTCGTGTCTGTTACGGTCTTTGTATCTGATACGGTCTTTGTGTCTGATACGGTTTTAATGACTGTTTCTTTGCTGGTTACAGTTTCAGTCTTAGTTTTAACGCTGACCACAACATCGGTCCGCGTTTCCTCATCGATCTTGGTTATATCTTTCTCGTGAGTTACGATGTCAGTTTTAACATTATACTTGGTCACGGTCTCAGTGCAGGTGACGGTCACCGGAGGGTATTTTATAGCGGAAGTTTCCGTCTTGGTAGTAGTCGCGGTTTCTTTTTTCGTGACGGTGCAAGTGTCGGTCTCTTTTTTCGTGATGGTGTAAGTGTTGGTCTCTTTTTTTGTGATGGTGCAAGTGTCAGTCTCTTTTTTAGTGATGGTGCAGGTGTCAGTCGTTGTTTTTGTGATGGTACAAGTGTCAGTCGCTGTTTTTGTGATGGTGCAGAAGTCGGTGACAGTCTTTGCTGGACATTTGTCGCAATCCCATCGTTTTTCAAAGAGAGCCGGTTTATAGACCGGTGAAACATCGTCGCCTGATGATGAGGCAGGCATCGAATGCACCAGTGAACCAGCGAGTATCAAGCATAGAGATGACACTAATATTAAATTTCTCGCGCGATACATATTAAATGAACCCGAGATGTGTTTATTTAGGGGCAATTGCGGAGGGAAGGTAAATTTTTCTACCGATCAGTGTTCTTTTGTATTACTAGGTTGACACAGCGAGTTATCGAAATTGTAAAAAGTTAGGTTTGTCTTCTCGAAACACCTTTAAATCAAAAAAGTAAAAAAAGGAAAGAAAATCTTTTATCAATAGATTCAGTACAAAGTACTACACGTACTTGGTGTGTTCTTATAGCATTTTTTTTTTCTTAGATTATATACACATAGGACCCAAGCTACTGTGGATTCGGACAGTGTTTCAATAAAGTTACGATTTAATTGCATCCATTAGTATCAATATGTATTGGTTTAGATATTGTGTACGTTTTGTATATTATGTACACTACGTAAAGCTGAAGCAAAATTAAGACTCCAGTCATATATGGAAAGACGAATCGATTAAGGCAAAAAGGAAAAAGCATTATAGACAAATGTGAAAATAGATGCGTGTAGATCAAATGTAAATATTGTATATTTAAAAAAGAACAATTTAAACGTAAAGAATATCTTTGTAAAAAAATTTTTGATTATAGGCCAAGCCATCATCGCTCCGTAAAAAGATGTCCCGAGGCAACATCAACTAATGCCGTGACATTAAATTGTGAAACATCCTAACCATATCTAACTTCATTTGTTTCATTGTCGAAAATCGACCCATAATTACCTTCCGTTCGCTAAAAATTCTCCGTGCAATTTACTTCGTGTCGATCAAGTCTATATTTGTTCGCCATACTGTATCGAACGTTTGCATGGCCTAGTACCCTACTGTAAAAATAGGCGTCCTATGCGCTAACGCATGTGGGTTAACTCGCGAAAGAACAAGGTTATATCAGAAGTTTTCGCTTTGTAATTTTTCTTGGTTTTATTTGTATTTCCCCTGAGTTGCTTGTGATCATGGGTGATGGGAACATACGTAGTGTTATAAATAGGTTCCGGGTACCATATTTCTATTTTTTTTTTTAATTCTCCACTATGCTCTTGCCATTTAATGATTGTGAATTTTGTGTTCACGCCAAAATGGTTATTGTTCAATGTGGTCGGACAATAGTATTTTTATTGGAGAACGTTCTATGCTATTGGCGCTGGAAAAAGGAATTGCCTGTACGTTGGGTCGAAAACTTGAACGTATTGTACATGCTTGCTATGGTTCAGCCCGGCGTCCTTTGGTGACCCGCGACTAAACGGTATATTTTTCTGTAGCATGATTCTTTGGAATTACGATACAGTACGTAATACGGATTCTGTGGAATCTGCTGATCGGTGCACATAATGTAAAACTACTGAAACCCAGGGAGTTTATAAATTCCTTTTTTGCAAAAAATAAGTAGAATAGTGAGCAAAGAATGTTTGAAAATGTTTAAGATGAGTTTTACCTTTTGTTATTATTCGCATTGACCCTAATTTAAAGGCATTTAATGAGCGAATATTTACAATTATTCTTCGGGAAAACTTTTGCAGATAATCTATGCGAGGCACCTCGTCCCTGCATTGCGTACGTTTGTTATTAAGATCGTGTCTGGCATTTTGTGTACGTACGTGCGTATGTGCTTGTACGCAAACATTAGCAGGAAAATAAGAAAAACATGCAAGAGCAGAAAATGTCGAGATTGAGTAGGCTGTGGATAAACACGAGTGAGTGTTCTCATAGAAAATATATACAGTGTATTGAGTCGTGATTTGCCTCTTTTTTTCCTGCTCCATAAACCTGAAATTACACACAATGTACATAGTACATTATGATGCTAATGTCCCGTTTGTAGTCTTTGAAGATGAACATTTATAATTTCGGTGATAGAAATATTTTTACCCAAAGTAAGATGTTTGTTTATTGTTCGGTCATCCAATATTGCATTACATCATGAACATCCCAAGTTCAACTTCATTACTTATGCGAATGACAGTATTAATGTATGAATGACAATGCGAATGACAGTGCGAATTCCAGTATGAATGAAACGACTCAAATCTCTTGGAAAATGTGGATCAAATTATTGGTCATCTGTTAGTGTGAAACAAATTTATTTCACGGGATTCATCCAATAAAAACAATAAATACAGTACATACCGTACATTATCAATCAATTAATATAAGGAGGTTTTCCGCGCATTGCGGGTTGTAATTAATTTTATTCATGGCATGAACTAACGCATGTCGATTTGAGGAGTGCACTATGTTCTTTAGGTTTCTTTTTGCATCACTGCATGTACAGCAATATACAGTATATTATTGGTCATTTTTACATCACAGGAGCAATGCTAATAAAATTTTTTTCAAAGAAATTATTACGGTATTTGATTTTGATAGACGTATTGATGTAAAAACTAAATCGAATCACACCACTGCAATCCATCGATGTTAATTCGCTTGGCGAAAAAAAAGAAAGTGTTATTCGAAATGACACTTTCTCATTAGTAATTATAATACAGTCATTAATAATTCATTAAAACTTATGGATCTTCCCTTTTTTGTTATTCACGGATTGTCATCCTAAAACTCTATTCATGAGAGATACGTTACATTCGCAGCACATCTTAATTAATCAAATAATAAATACTGTACCGTGCGTTTTACTCGACACAAAGTTTCGATGTCATTGGATTTGATATTCAAATGGGTACACTTGACAATTTTGATAGCATTCTCTTGAAGGAAAAATTTTGTATGATATTAATATAAATAATACGACATGGTATCCTAATTATAATAAAATTCTAAATAAATCATACACTTTATCAAAAAAAATAATAATTAATTAAAATAAAATAAAATAAATAAATAAATAAATCACAGCCATTTAATCTGTTTCTGGTATATGCAATACGTGTCATATATTTTTAAAATATCACAAAAAGTATACACACTGTATAGATTAATTTGTTAGATAGCTTTTTATTATCTTTTATTATTTTAAATTGAAAATTTTTTCAAAAAGAGTGGATTATAAATTATAAATAATTTTTATTTATTTATTTTTTAAATCATTAATATATATTAAATAAAAAAAACTCATATTTATATTGTTAAAAAATTTTTTTGATGGTAATTTTTATCAAAAAAATTTTTTATACTTTTTATCACAAATAATCAAATCTTTTAAAGCAGCTAATACAATAGGATAGATAGAACCTTTGATCAAAGTTTATTCAAGTTGAAAAGTTTTGTTTTTTTTAAAAAAAATGATATAAAAATTTTTCTATTTTTTTTTTCTATTTTTTATGTTCTTTTATTTCTTCTTTACAATATTATAAATATTACTCGTAATTTTATTTTCACATTTTTCAAACTTAAAAATATTTTTTCAAAATATATTCAAATAAATTATTAAATCTATTAATCATTTTAATACAATTTATTCAAATAATAATAGTATAATAACTATTCAAAAATATATACAATTTTTATTTGAATAATAATTTAAAATCAGCTTTTATTTTTTTCAATTAAATAATACCTATCAATTATTTAAATCAAATTCTAGTGTTTTATTAAAACAAAAGTCAAATTAATTTAAATTAGTTTACTAATATAATAACAATAGCAATAATAATAATATCAATTATTCTCTATTATTTATATTTACAAAAATTATATTAAAAATAATAAAAAATTAAATATATCAACTAAATTCTAATTCCAATTATTTTTATTATTTATTTAATTAAATTCTGATTTCAATTATTCTTAATATTATTCTTATTATTTTTAATTGATCAAAAGTATTAGATATAAGATTTTATTAATAATTGATATTCTATTATTATATCAAATATTTTTACAAGCTAAATTATTGCTATTCTAAATATAAATTAATATTGCCTAATTTATTTCTTTAATACAATTTTTTCTTCTCTTATATATGTTGTTATAATTATTGATAGTACTATTTATATATATATTGTTGTGGGAACAATAGGGATAGGAACGTGATATTGTGGCGCGTCACGTAATAACAGCAACATGGATGGTAGAATGATGTAATAATTGGTAATAGCATGTAATGAGATGGACGCATTCACAAAGCATATAAATAGAATAGTTGGAGGTAGTTTGGAGGGGACAGTCAAGAATCAGAGTTTCAAAAAAGTTTAGCTGGAAGCTTTAAGTTGAGAGTGTTAGAACGCTCTTTATGTTCTCTTGCTTTATTCAATAAATGCCATAACTTTGCACAATTATATTACACATTCCTTGAAGTATACACTAAGTCTACACCACTACAGTAAAGTAATCTTTAAGAAAGAGGGACGCGACATTACCGTTGTGCACCGTAAGAGAGCGACACTTGTAATCTTGAAACACGCCTAGGGAAAGACGGTCAAGAAGGGATTAGCCAGTGTGCAAAAGTCGGTCAAATCGTAATCTGCTTCGGAGTTAAAGCCTTACCTTATTTAGTGCCGAAATCCAAGTGTTCGGACTATCGTCTCATGAAGAGTGAACCATTTTAGTGACAGACTCGCCGGTGACGATAACAATATATATTTTTAAAATAGATAAATATTATCTCTTTTTTTTAAAAAATTCTCTCCTGATCGCATCCGTTTTGTTAAAAATTTTCCTTTTATGGTAATTTTAAGCAAGAAAAAATGTTTTACACTC